GTCCCCTCCCTGTGCCTCTGTTTCTTCCTCTGTGGAGTTGTGGTTATCCCCATAGGTCTTGTGTGATTTTAAAATGCACTAAACACCTATAAAGTACTTAGAAAACTCTTTTGATCCTTACTGTTGGGTGGACGGATGAGAATGGGGCAACCGTTTGTATCTTCCTTTCCCAGAGCTTCCCTAATGGTAAATTAGCTAGTAGCTCCAGAGGCGGATCCATGAGCTGGGACAGACTCGCAGAGAGGAACCAGAGAACTCCTCTGGCCCAGGCCCAACAGCACCCATCCCCGCACGATCCCCGTGCCTGTGGCTAACAGCCTCCACACTCTGTCTGCATTATGCTTCCGCAGGAAAACGTCTCCCTGATCAAGGAGATTAATGAGCTCCGAAGGGAGCTGAAGCTCACCCGCTCCCAAGTCTATGACCTTGAAGCAGCCCTGAAATTGGCCAAGAAAATCCGACCAACCGAGGTTCCAGAAATCGGTAATGTCACCCAGTGTTTAGGTAGTTTGGGCAGTGAGTCCAAAGGACAGTGGGAGCCAGGGGCCGGGCCTCCCTTTGACTGCCACTACTGCCTCTCCTCACTTCCCTTGTGTCTCGTCACATCCGCACCTGACCTTCTGGGCGCCTCTCCAGACCACACACTTTCTCCTCCAGAGGATTTGAAAGGCTCTGACTATCCCAACACTTACAGGTCCAGGATCCCTGGGGTTTAACTATGACCCATAATTCAGACATTTCATATTTCAGAAGGAACGTAATATCTATAGCTATTTATACAAGCCCTGGTGCCGTAGTGGTTACGAGTTGGCCTGCAGTTCAAAACCACCTGCTGCTCCTCAGGAGAAAGACAGGGCTTTCTACTCCGACAGTTAGTCTCAGAAGCTCACAGGGGCAGTTCTACCCTGTCCCCTAGCGTTGCTATGAGTCTGGACCCACTCGGTGGCAGTGAGTGAACTCTCTATCTCTATCTCCATAGTATGGTTATAAGATAAACACCCTCAGGGCCGTCTGATCACACACGAGTGTTTCTGTAGTGAAACATGAACAGTCACACTAGCAGGGGAATCGATGCATGCCTTGATGCATGCCTTGATGCATGCCTTGATGCATGCCTTGATGCATGCCTTGATGCATGCCTTGATGCATGCCTGGAGTTGACTCGGAGCTCGCGGCAACCTCAGGTAAACAACACAGACTATGTTCACTCGTGCGCCACCCGCATGTTTGAGTTGGTCCTTGCAGCCGTTGGGTCAATGCATCTCACCAGGAGTCTCTCTCCCTCGATGACCCTCTGCTGCACCAAGCATGATGCGCTCTCTCCTCGCAGGAGTAACTCATCAGGATGACGGCTCACAGCAGGCTCGTTGGACAGTGCTCTATTCTGAGCCATAAAGTTTCCACTGGCCAATTTTTCTAAGTGGATCAGTGTGTTAGGTCGGATTGACTAGAGAAACAAATTCCGGGGACACTCATATATATGTGTGTGAGAGAGAGCTTTATATTAAGAAGTAATTATATAGCAAGCAAACATCCAAGCCCAGTCCAGGTCAAGTCCATAAGTTCGATACTAGTCTGTAGTCCCTCTTCAGACTCGTGCAGCCATAGCAACAGTGCGGAATGCAGGAACATCACCGGCCGGTGGGTGCAAACTCTTGTGGACCCAATGGTAGTGGCAGCATCACAGGGCTCTGACAGCTCCCAGCAGGAAGGTGGAGGGAGAGAGGGAGAGGGAGGTCCCCAGGATCCTCTTTATGAGAGGGCCACACCCACAAGGAGACACCATCAGGCTGTAACTGATTGACAGGCTGGACTCCACCCCTTCACTGTATTTGTCAAGATGACACGAAATTATGGAACTACCACAATCAGCCTTCTTCTTAGTCTGGAGGAACCTCTGAACCCTGCCCTCCATGGGTGGCCCTGCTGGTACTCGAATTACTGGTGGCAGCGTTTCCAGTAGCATAGCAACGCACAAGCACCGCAGTGTGACAAACTGGCAGACAGGTGGCGAAGTGAACAAAGTGACTAAAGAAAGGCTCCGTTTTTAGAGCTTTCGTGCCCTTTAGAATTATGGATAAAGGACTGTGGACCTATGCCATTAAAATGAAGACAAAAAGAACGATTTGAAACCATTGAAAGGGAGAGGGGTATGAATTGCTTAAAGATGAAAGGAGTGTTTCCTGTAATTATATCCTCAAGTTCTTCTGGATTCCTGACGGCCAAAGCACAAGGGAAATGAAAAAATATGGTAGGTTACAATTCAACGTTTCCCCCCAACATGGGCTCTGAGGGGGAGCTGGATCGATGGGGGGAGCGGGGTGCTGCAGAAGCAATGCCTACACATTACCCTGGATTACCGGCTGGAGTGCAAACGTTTTCATTGCCGAAATGGGGGTAGTGGGCCACATCGGCCTGGAGACCCTGAGTCCGCACTGTTTGAAAGCGAACCTTGCACGGCCACTGAATTCCGAGAGACACCGTCACAACGAGGTTCATGCAGAGCGTGTGAGACAGCACAGCGGGGAGGCTCCGGCTTTCAGACAGTGAGGAAACCCTCAGGTGGCCGCTTCTACTCTGGGCAGGCAGTCAGACCAGGAAATTCAGCTGGCATGAGTCCGTTTTCTATCTAGCCCGCCCTTTGGTGCTGAGTTGGAGCCCTGGGCTCTAGGGTGGCTACGAGTTGGCACCCACTCAACAGTAGTGGGTTGGGTTGGGTTGCGATTTGGAGTAGGGTCTGGCCGGCCAGCCTGGCTAGAAGCACACACTCTGGGGCCTGCCCGAGAGCTACTGGGGTGGGAGGGTGGTTTCCCAGGGAGCCACCTTCCCTCGGCCCCTTCCGTGGGAAATCAATCCAGCATGGTCCAAATATACCGTTTCTGATGGCTTACATTCCAGACTAGAGCTTAAAGACGCGGTAGACTGCACACTGAGTGTCCCAGTCAGTTGTCTCGGGTCCTGTCGGATACTACTATCATTGGAGGAAGTTGGGTGAAGGGTCCGCGGGAACGCTCGGTACTGTTGGTCTTTCCAAACTCTGTGTCGGTGTGTGCAGCCCCGGGCACCGTGGCTCAGCACTTGGCTGCTCTCTGAGAAGCTGGTGGCTTGAAGACCCCACTGCCACTCCACGGGGAAGAAAGCAAGGTGGCAGCCTGCTTCCCTGCGGATCACAGCCCTGGAGACCGCTGAGATGCGGCTGTGCTCCTCTGTGCAGCACGGCCACTCCGAGTTGGAATCAACAATGCACAACAGTTACACACACAATATTTCAGTAGTAGCGTGCATGGCTATCGATCGAGCGATCGATATCATGCTGTGGTCACGCCTGCCCTTTGAGTGAGAGCTGCATGCAGTTGAGATAAGAGTAAGCTTTGCGGCAAGCCCGCGTTGGAGAACCACCATGTGATGAAGGCAGAGACGGACAGCGGGCTGTCCTGGAGGGGAAGCCAGCCTCTCTTGGAGAAGCCTAGATGTGCTGACGAACCATCCCCAAAGTTCCCCTTCAAAAGAGCCTTCACTCTGCCCCGCATGCTCTGCTCGCAACACTGTTGAGCTGAGCTGCCCTCCAGGCACTGCAGGTGCTTCATAGGGGATGATGGAAGATTTCAAGTGTATGCAAAACCGGAACGGGCCAATGAATGCCCATTAACCTTTCCCCTGGCCTGGGTCAACAGGGCAGTGCTGTCCTACCCAGTGAGGAGGATGAGAGAATGGACAGCCCCCACTGGAGTGGCCTCCGGGCAGGCAGCCTGGGGGCGCAGGAGATGGGCTGGCTTTGGCTGGTGCTCAGCATGTGCCTTCTCCCACCAGGCAGTGAAGTGTGTCGACCCCTTCCCCCAGTCCCTGGATCCAGACTGCCAGTCTCAAGGACTCTGTGGGGAGGGAGGGAGGGACAGGGGGCCCTGCGAAGCGGCCCCATCAGCCCTGCTCTGTCACCCGCAGCACCCAGCAAGGACCTCTCCAGCACGGCCCTCCCCATGCGGCTGAGTGATCACGAGGAGACGGAGAGAATCATCGAAATGCAGCGCTTAGAAATCCAGCGCCTCCGGGACCAGATCCAGGAGCAAGAGCAGATCCCGGGCCTGCACCCCCTGAGCGTAAGCCGGCTGCCGTCCTTGGTGGAGTCCGAGGTGGACTTGAGCATCAGCCTCACCTGACCGCCCACTACCACCCCAGCCCCCACCCCACGCGGCGGGCCGTCCTCAGCCTCGGGCCCCAGCCAGTCTTCAGCACTCTGAGTCCACGCTCAGGGGCTGGAGTTCCTGCGGCACGGAACCCACCCAGCCTCGTTGTCCCTACCCTGGAGAATCTGGGACACAGTAGAATAAACGTGTTTGCCCACCATGGTGTCCCTTTGCTTACCAGGAAGCTGGGGAGAGGGAAGGGCAGGCTCCAATGCTGCTTCTGTCTGTCCCCAGAGGGCCGTGGGTTCGAATGACCACAGCCACTAGAATGTCTTGATAATTTAGAAGAGTCTGTATTCGGTTATAACCGGACTCCTAGAATCTAAAAGCACTTCTTTGATTGCAGTCCCGAGTCCACCTTTCAGTCCATCTTTAAAGGCAAAAAACTCATTGATCCTTTGTCTAAGACTTAAGCAAGCGTGGACAGAAGCAGAAAGCAAAATTAATGTTACTGCTCTTTAGGGTTAGGGAGCGTTACAGGGTACAGCATTATTAGAACATTCTGGTAACTTCAAGAAGAGCAAACGTGCATTACAAGGTTCCTTCCTTATAAAAGAAACAATACCAACATTGACTATAACATCTGGTTACCATAACAAGCTTAACTACGCCATCAGATTACAACATCACAGGGAGTGATATTGGATGAGAACAAACGTTATATTGAAGAATAGTCCAATCTAATTGTAGTGTCCAGAACCTGGGAATATGGGAGTACCTTTTAAAATTCCTCAGCAGCACAGACTTTCCCACAGAGGAGGGAGAACGGGCAGGTCAACTAGCAGTCAGCTTTCTGAGCTGGGAGGGAGGAACGGGCAGGTTGCTTAGCAGCTGACAAAAATGGCGTTTCTAAAACAAAGAAGAAAATGGCATTTCTTTTGCTAGCCTGCCTCAAGAACATGCCCGACTTCCGGGCTGCCCAGTACTGCCTTGCCATGGCCTTAAGGACTCCCAGCTTCCATCTGAAAGATCACCAGACCAGATTTTCTGTTCTACTGCTTACGTCGAGATCAGACTCAGCCGCCCCGCGTGATCCTTGGTAGGACATGGATTTGACCTTGTGTGTACAGACAAGGGGAAGGTGAACGTCCTCAAAGCTGGTCCTGCTCTTAGGCCTAGAAGCAGGAGTCTGACCTGTGCCCCGCTCTAGACTTGCCATCTCTGCTGTGCTGACGCCACCACCCCCCTTTCAGTCCTAGGAGTAGGTTTATCTCCACACAGCTCCCTACTGGGAGGCCCAGCCACTGACAGGTACCAGGAGAACAAAAGAGCCAGGTGCTCCCATCTTCACCCGCCTGCCGAGGACACGCACCTTTCTACTCCCAGATAAATGGTTAACTCCTCAAGTCACCTCTGGATGTCCTTGCCCTGGTGATTCCACTGCTGCTTTCTCCCATCCTCCCCCAGCCTGCCTTCCCCCAGCGTCGGACACTGCCAGGGTTCATTCCTCACAGTGCGAGCCGGGGCTTGGCTGGCACGTTGAGCAGGGCTCTCTAGAGGCCTGGGGCTGACAAAGGCAGGTCCACCAGGGGAAAATGCCTCAGTTCTATGCAGTCCTGTGTCTCCTTAGCAACTAGCTTCCCACCCCCAAGCCTGCACTCAGAGGAGGGCCAGCTTATCCCCTCTGATCTTTTTCCTTTGTCTTCATACACAAGTTCAAGTTCATAGGAACCCTCATTCTGTGTCATACCACGGCCTGGATCACATTCTAATTCACTGTGACCCTGTAAGACAGGGTGGAGCCGCTGCATGGGGTTCCTCGGCCCGTCCATCTCCATGGGCAACCAACAGCCTCATATGTCTCTCTTGAAACAGCTGGTAGGTTTGAACCACCAACGCTGTGGTTAACGATCCAATGCAGAACCACTGTACCACCAGGGCTCCTACCCTTCCATTCCTACATGTCTCCGCCCGTACTGGGAGAACAGACTCAGAGTAGGGAAGAAATCAAATCGGGCAAGCTTCTGGGAGACCACGAAGTCACGGAGACACCAACTCATGACATGCTACACAGCGGCCACGGCCCGAGCAGAGCACACCCGCGAGCTTGCTGCAGAGCCAGGCAACGTTTCCTTCGGCCCGCCCAGGGCACGTGGGCGCCAACTGGGCAGCAACCATATAGCATTTTAGCCACAGTGGGTTTTGTTCTGGTCCTCCAGAAAGTGACCTTTGCACTTGTCTTCTTCCATGAGCATCCGCCCCCTCCGTCTGCTGGGTTAACTCCCACAGGTCCTAACCCCAGAGCGGTAGACGAGCTCCTCGGGGCTCAGACTTCTTTCCACACTCGCCTGGTTTTCGTTTCACAGAAGAAACAAACCCCACTGAGAGTCACTTCCCAAGGTCCTGCCACACGGACCTTTCTTAGAAATGGCTGCGCTCTTCCCATGTATCCTTCTCTTTACCTGAGTGTCCCCCCACCACACCACACACCCTCCCTTAGGAAGCCCTTGGCTGTCCTTCATCTCCGCTTCAATGTTGCTTCCTCAGAAGGACGCTGCTGCTAACCCTTCTGAAGCACATGCACCACAACCCTCACCGTGAACTCTCGGCGTTCCCTGTCCATCTCCCCACGAGGCCCTCAGTTCCGTGAGCGTAGGAGGCTGTGTCTGTTTCCAGTTTACTCCGGAATCCTATGGAGAATTGAGGGGAGCCCATCGTGGAGGCAGGGAGACCATTTCGTGTTGCTGCCCAGATGTGAAGGATTCCTGGCCGCACTGTGGGATAAAGTGTGGGACTGTTAACCACAAGATTGGCTGGTCAAACCCACCAGTCCACTCTGTAGGACAAAAATGAGGCTAACTAGCTGCTCCCATAAAGACCCACAGCCCTGGAAACACTGTGCCGGGTGACTAGGACTCTGTTGGGGTCCAGATGTGAGAGGAACAGGCTTAGACTGAGATAATAGCAGTGGAGAAGGAGAAGTGATCTTTTCCAAGTTGAGGAGGTGATGGGAGTTAGCCACGCAGAGGGAGGTGGGAGGTGCGGGAGGGCCTGCTGGAGGGTCCGAAGACAATCCCCTGCAGCTCAGAGGTTGGGGGCACATGTTACCATGAACTTGGCTGCACCTCCCAGGGAATCTATCTGTGCCTTGGCTGCACCTCCCAGGGAATCTATCTGTGCCTGGGCCGGCCGCTGTGAAAGTCACAGCCTCAGGCAAACCTCCACAGGAGGACAAACGGACAGATGGGGGAAGGAGCTAATATGTAGCGATTTCCAAATAACAGATTGTTCAACTTAAAAAACAGCTCAGCATCAAGGCACCGCACTTCCCCCATCGACGGAGCTGGTGAGAGATAAAGAACCCCAAACGGAAGAGAGAAGTCAGCTGCGCAGGGTCCCGCAGGCAGGGCCAGAGGCCCACCGCCCAGGCGGTCCCACAATCCCATGTCCTGCGTGTCCGCACTGCCCGGCAGAGACACCCGAACAGAGCACCACTGGCCATGTGGTGGGGCTAGAGGGGCGTGACACCGGAATCTAAGGCAGAAACAGTCAAAGGAACTGAAAACTCCCAGGTTACGCCCTCGCTGGCGAGGAGGAAGTGGAAGAGGAGGAGACCCAGGCCAAGGAAAGTCCGACCCACGGAACCAGGCACCCCAGCCCGCAGCTCCGAGGACGCTCTTCTGGCCACGCACAGGTGAGTGCACCTGGCGCCCGCAGGGCCGTCTAGCTTTCAGTCCTGCTGCAACCTGTGGAGTCGCATTGGTTCTCCTCCTGCCTCTCCTCACTCCTTAGGGCACAGGGTGCCACCCTTTCCTTCAGGGCCCCTTTGGCCAGTTGATGAAGTGGGCCTAGGGATCCTGGTACCCTGGTATGCCCCCCTGGCCACCCACACAGCGAGGTGGACTTAGCTACTGAGGCTGAAGCCCATTGTGGGGACTCGGGGATTCATTCAATTCCAGTGTAACAGCTGGGCGCCTTTGGAGCTGCTGTAAGAGCCACCAAACTCTCTCTTGGGGCCCCGATCTCTGCTGAGCACCTTCTTCTAGTGTCTTGGCATCAGTCATGGCCAGACAGCATGAGCTGCCCAACAGAGCCTCCTCTGCCGGGCTGTTTCTAGTGCCGAAGACCCTGGCCTACAGAAGGTTCGGGCATCAGCAGCCACCTTTCCCCCACGGCTTCAGAAACAAACCACGGATAGACCTAGATGGAGCATATGTCAGTAGCTTTACATTCTGATAGTTTTGTGTAATAAAGGTTCCTGTGATTTGGTAGCAATGCTTTTTGACTTACCCTTGAAGTAAAGATTTATTGGAGAGAGAATGTTTAATCACACACACACACACACACACACACACACACAATATACAGAGCCCGGGTAGCAAAATGCTTATGCACTCAGCTCCTAATGGCTGGCAATCTGAGTCCACCAGGCGTTCTGCAGGAGAGAGATGTGGCAGGCAATCTGTTTCCACCGAGACGTGCGGCCTTAGGCGCCCTGTAGGGCACTCCGACTCTGGCCTGTAGGGTCACTGGAAGTCTAAATCAACCCAACAGCAACCTGTGCGGCCTGGTAACGGACACCGTATACAAATTAAGTAATATTGTCCCCCCTTCCAAATGAGGAGACTGGGGCACAGAGAAGTTAGGCCATTTTCCCTGCAGTCACAGAGCTAGATCTGGGACATCTAATTCCCAAACCAGTGTTCCCTCCACAAGCCATTCATTCACTGAGCAAACCTTTACTGAGCACCTACGATACTCCAGGCCTGTTCACAGAGCTAGGGGCACAGCAGCGTACAGACACAAATTCCTTCCTTTGTGAAACGTATGAGCCAGGGGTGCAGACAGACAACATTGCAGCTAGATTTTGTTTTTAAGTAGATCACAGGTTAGACGGCGCTGAGTGCTAAGGAGGCACACCAAGGATTGAAGAAAAGAAACCGGGACGGAGGATTGGTTATACTGGACGGGGTCACCAGTTGAGACAGGGTGCCCGGGAAGGTTCCTCCAGGAGGCTGGCGTCTGAGTACATTCCTGGGAGAGCCTCACTGCTTATCTGGGAGAAAAGCACCCAGGTAAGAGCGAGCAAGGTGGGGGGGGGGGGCGCTGAAGTCAGAGAGGGCCTTGACTGTTTCTCAGAGGCAGGTCACTGCAGGGACGCACCTTGTGACAGGATCACCCAGGCTGCTGGTTGAGAATAGTTTGAGGTTGGACCATGGGTACCCCATGGCTCACGGTCCTCCCCTCAATCCCTGCCCCCTGCCACATACTCACCGCCAGCTGATGGACCTGAGGGCGGTTCACGCCTTCCGGCCGTCATTACCGGGCTGGCCCTTGTTTGAGGGCAGAGTCCAACCCTGAAGGAGCCTGCCTTCCCACTGCTAACGCCGAGGCATTTGATAAGACGCAGGCTAGAACAAAGACTCACATAGTCAATATTGAATGTGAGTACATTTTGTCTCCCTTCCCCTCCCATGGAAAACAGTTCTCTTCACACTCCACGGGAAGGGGAAGGGAGGGACAGCTGAGTGTGGGTCTGACTGGGGCCAGACCTCCTTGGGGCCGGAGAATCGATAAACCCGAGACACACACAGAAGAGCACTCCCGCGGTCAGTGAACGCTGCCAGGCCCCTGGCGTGTCCCTACCGCTCCTCCACCTGCAGGGGACACTTTTCTCATGCTTTGCTGAAGTGGCAGGCTGAGTGCCTGTACCCTCATGGCCTAGGCCCTCCCACTGCAACCTGCCCTCCCTTTCTCCAGAGGAAGGGCCACACACAGCGACGGAGCATCTGAAATGCGGGGACTTGGAACCGAGACACCAGGGGTACAAAACGCACATCGAATTTTCAAAACTTAGTACAAAGCGAAAGCCTGTAAAATACCAGATCTCCTTAATCACCGGTGTTTCCAGTGAAAATACTTAGGGGGCTTAATGGGATGGATATGAATGTCTTCGTTTCGCCTTTGTTAATTAGCCGTGAACTCGACTTCTACACTCACTGCCATCATGTTGATTCCAACTCACAGAGGACCCTATAGGGCAGGGTAGAACTGTCCCTATGGGTTTCTGAGATCCTAAGTCTTTATGGGAGGAGAGCGCTTCATCTTTCTCTCATGGAGCTGTGCAGAACTGCTGACCTGCAGTGACCACTCCCAGGGCTCCTCGCTGGCTATGAGAGTGTGTTCAACAATGCACTGGGCTCGCGCTGTGTTTCAGTGGACAGCCCGGACTAGTTCTGGCTGATCCCACACTATCTCCACGGAACAAAGCAAAGAGAAGCACAGGCAGGCCAAGCTGATGATGGAGAGAGCTTTAGGTCCATTTTCTTGTTCATCCATGCTGGAAGAAGAGAAGCAAGAGCCCTTACAAGGGTGCAGTCTGAGAGATGGTGAGAGCCTGCTCCTACCCACCGCCTCACCCAGCCAGAATGGTGTGTGGTAGCAGATTCATTTATTAGCAGAGCTCTGTCTCTGTCCCTGTCATACTTCCAAACCCTCCATGGGTCCCTGGCCCAGGCCAAATGCCTCGTCGCAGCATTCAAGGCCTTGTACAGCCTGAGCCAAATTTGTCTCATCTGCCTTCTGTCCGTTCATTCATTAATTCAACCCGTATTTATTGATTACCTTCCATGTGCCAAGCATAGTGCTGGCTACTAAAATCACAATGATTTACAAAACACAGTTCCTGAACCT